TCACCCCCTCCACTGTACTCGACATTACTACCTCAAAACCCCACCAAGACAACACCTTAACCCAAATTAACCAAGCCTCCTTACATGTACAAAATAAATGGTTGGACTCTTCTTCCTCCTTGCTACACAAACCACACAATAACCCCTCCGACAGAACCACCCCTCTCTTTTTTAAATTCCTTTTTGTTGGAAGTTTATCTAATAAAGTTATTTTAAAAAATGAAAATTGTATTTGTTAATTAAATTAGAAGACAAAAATATAGAGTTTTTGCATTATATATTAGAAAATATGTTTTTGAAATCATTTTGCACTAAAATATGTTTTTTGCCTTAAGGTAATTTTGAATTTTTACAGCCTAAACTATACTTCTTGTAGTGTAGTCCAGTTAAAAAAAATTGGGCTTCCATATATTGTAAATTGGAGTTTTAAAACTCTTTCAAATGATTAAAATTTGAGACCATTTTGATTTTATGACAATTAACTTTTTCATTTTTGTTTTATCTTTTTTTTTTTCCAAATTTTTTGTGGTATATCTTAGGTAATATAACTTTTTTAGTGGTAAAAATCCTTATTATTTTAATGAGATTTGAAGTCTTAGTGTTTTATATTATTGATGGTTAATGATGTAATAAAACAATAACTGTCATGAATAATTATACATATACCTTACAAAGTTACATATTCCGTTACACACTAATGGAAATCGTCAATGTGTAATAGAAACCGTCATTTTTAACAGTATAAATAACGAAAATCGCCAGTTTTAACAGCAAAAGTAACGGAAACCATCTCCATTATACACTGACAGAAATCGTCAATATGTAATAGAAATTGTCAGTTTTAACAACATAAATAATGAAAATTGTTAGTTTTAACAACATAAATAATGGAAACCATCAGTGTGTAATGGAAACCGTCAGTACGCAATAGAGTGTATAACTTTGCAGGGTATATGTATCGTTTCCCAATTGTCATTTGTATCATGTTGCCTTTTGATCTTCAATTACAAATCATGATATAATAGTTACAATTTAGATTATATTTTTCATTAAGGAATTTTTGTACATTCACAGCTTTTGTATTTCATATATTCATTTGCACTTTTATCTTTGAGTTGGGCAATAATAGTAATATTAAATAATAATAGTACTTTCATCTTTATTATTATTTTTTTTTTATCAGCAAAAATAATTTATTAGTGAGGTACAAGGGGTACCTGAAACCCATTACATCAAGAAGTATCAATATATCAACCTCAATCCTCAAAATATATATAATACAAGCAAATACACTTTCATCCTTAATCTTTAAGTTTACTTAAATCTCTTGCATGTCACCTCATGCATATTAAAGAGATAAACCATATTCAAATTGGTAGTAAATTGTTTTAACTCTTCTTCTTTATCATTATTTTTGAAATTAATGTTAAAATAATACTATATATGTCATTTATATGTTACATCATTAATTATGTGCCTCTTGATCTTTCATTAATAACTATTTTTTTTTTTTGAACAGCAAAGAATATGTATAATATTATACTGAGTACAAGGGGTACTCAACCCATTGAGATAAACCAAATAACAGTCACCCAGTGTTAGTTCCCTCTTTTAGACCACTTATCAAATAATCCCACCCCTATTGCTAGACAAGCATGCTGCAGGATTAATTAACCAATCTGAAAGAGAAAAATAACACCTGGATTTTTTTGCTTTAATCCATGTGAATGATCTCAGTTGAATAAGTTCTAGCAGCTTACCCAAGTTAATAACTATAATAAATCATAAATAAATTTTTGCATATTCACAACTTTTTGTTTTTCATGCACTTTCACATTTATTTTCCTTCAAATTATTAACATAAGATTTTTTTTATGTAAAAGAAAGGTGAAAAGAAAAGTCTCATAAGTTTGGAAAATAGTAAAAGTAAATTTAAGTCATTTAG